CATAGCTCACTATAGCCTCAAACTCCTGGGCTGGACTGAGTGATCCTCCTGCCTCAGCCTCCCAAGTGGCTGGGACTACAAGCACCTGCCACCACGCCTGGCCAAACAGCTTTTAAAAGCTCATGTCATATGATCTCAAGGTTGTTTACCTGGTCATTTCATGGTAATTATAAACTCTGATTGGCAGCTTTAGATTTCTTGATTAAAACCCTTAATAAACTGATTAAGTCATATTTCAAAGGGGTTCTCGGTGAAAAGATTGCGAATTATTCTGTCTGGCACTTAGTGAAAATATTTTGTTATATTAATGTACTTACCAGTTATTGCCATTTCTTTATTAAATTCAAAAGTTTTTTGTCAAAAAAAATCCATTCTATTGATCCAAAAACAGCAATTTTTTGTCTTTCTGCTAAAGTAATTTAGAATTTTCTCTCATATCATTTCACTGCTGTAGCTATCACACGATTGCTCAAATAGAAATTTGGCAAGATTATACTTCTTAGGATAGTGTTCGGTAAGTATTTTATTTTTTATAAAGTGAGTTTCATGTTAACTTTTCTTCTATTTCTAGGTAGTGAAGGATAGATAGTATTTCATTTGATGGTATTTAAAATGTCCCCCATACCATGAGCAGTGGAAAGAGTTTTACATGGGCAGTCTCACTACTGGAGACATTAAAAACTCAAAGTCCATGTCTGTGTGTCAGGGCTGAATTCATTCCAGTTATGATACTAATATATTTACCTAAGTAAATTTTAGTTTAAAAGAAAAACCCTCTGATGGCTGTGCGCTCAGTGTAAAATCCAGACCCCTTCCCGTGGACCACAAGGCCCTGCAGGTGCCAGACCCCGTTGTTCTCGTGAGTCCATCTCATGACCACTGTGCCCCGGTCACTCTGTCCTTTTGAAGAGCCTCACATGCACCAAGCTCCTTCCACTCTTTCATCCCGCTGTTCCTGGCTCTGTCTTGAAATGCTCTAATCCCCTGTCCCCTCTTTGCATATCTCTCCCTCATCCTTCAGGTCTTGGGAGAAGTTTTCGCTGATTGCCCAATCAAAATTAATTCCTCCTGTTCCTCTTTTTCATCACACTCTGTGCTTTTTAACTTTGTATTAAAGCACGTAGATAATGTGCAAGTGTGTAATTATCTATGCGATTGTTGAATGCACACATCCATATCTCCATGTCCTCAGCAACTGGATCTATTTTTTGTTTATTTACTGTATCCAGTGTTTTCAGAGCAGTGGGGAAAATGTGCTTATGACATTGGGTGGGACATCTTTTCTTGTGCAGGTGAGATACGGACCAGGGACTGGCAGGGCCTGCTGGATAAGACCCAAACCAAGGTCTCTGGTAAAACAGGATGAGGTGGAGAAACCCATTAAGAACCGTTGAAGCCAAGATGGTGACAAAATGACCTCTTGTTACCCTCACTGTTCCTTATTCGCTAATTATAATACATTAGCATGCTAAAAGAAACTCCCACCAGTAAATGCCACAGGAACTCCCCGAAGTTACCCAACAGGGTTTGAAAAGTGGAGGGACCCTCAGTTCCGGGAACTCCCCAACCCTTGCCCAGAAATCTTATGAATAATCCTCCCTCCGCTTAACAAAATTAAATAGAAGGTACAAAATAAGGCCTCAGAAACTCACAAAGGGCTACTCTCTGTTGCTCTGGGAGACAGTCACGGCCCTGCCTTCCTTCTGTTTTTTGTACTTTTGTACTTCAATAAATTTGCTTTTGCTTTACTCTGTCACCTTGCTCATGAATTTTTACCTGCGTGAAGCCAAGAACCCACTTAGCCTGGGTCCACTTTCCTCGGTCACAGGTTTATTAGGTTTTGCTCAATAACAAAGCCAGAGACGCAACCTTTCAGTGGCTTACACAACAAACATTTACCTCTCACTCGTGAGTCTATGGGTGAGCTGTTGCCTAGGCTTGGTGGGACTCAGGGTTTGGGTCGTCAGCTTCATTCTCTCAGGTCTGTTTGACATTCAAGGGCCCAAGCTGAAGAGGAAGAGGCATTTGCTCTCACGGTGGACAGCACAGCGCAGGAGGGGCAGAACGCAGCTCCTTCACCAAGCCTCTGCGTGGAACTGGCCCCTCTCTCGTCTGCCCATATTCCACTGGTCGAAACCAGCCGAGGGCGACGTGATGGAGAAATCACCCTCACCCACCTGTGAGAACCCTGAATGACCTAACGTTTCCAGATGGCCCTTATGGGGCTGTTCTGGAACCACCTCAGGCCTGGTGCCCTGGACTCCACACCACAGGCCCCATAGCCTAGGCCCACAATTCCTAGAAACAGGCTCCATTCAGGAGGCCACGGGCGTCCCAGGGGAGGAAAAACATGCTTCAAGTGTCCCCAGCAGAGTTGTCGGACTGGCAGTCCCAGGTAAAAACAGCCACTCCTGGTGGGAGAGAAGGACAACTTCTATCAAGGGCCTTGGATCAGTGCATTTGGGGAAGGCCCTGACTTCCCATTAACTCTACAATGTGCCCTTATAAAGCCCCTGGCTATCAAGTTCTAGGTTGTCACTTATTTGTCAGCTGATACTTATTGAGAGCCTCGTGGGTGCTGGGAGGTATACAATTAAGGGTGGTGACACAGGCAAGGTGCCAGGTCTGGGTCAGGCCCTTCCTTGGTGGTTTCTCATCCCTCCTTCCTCCTTCCCACAGAGTTGTCCCTTTAGTTTAAACTCATCCTCACAACCCCTATGACCCAGCAAGAGACAGCCAGGCAGAGCGTAGGTGACATGAGCATAAAACAAATGAGAGGAGAGGATTCACTGATACAAAACCAAGATGTCGGCAATGTATCACTTGAGAAACACGTTCTAATGTTGGGAACTCTTCTGAACTGCTTTATCAGATTAGTCAAGACATGGGAAGGCTTTACCTAGCCATTTACAAAAAGCCTGTCTTTACACAGTAGGCAGACTATAAATACATGCAGAATGAGTGAGAAACCCTCACATGTGGACTGGGAGAAGGTAGAGCAGCAGCCGCAGCAGCAGACAGTGAACCATTACTGACAGCCAGCCACGTCCACACACTGCCAACTGCAGTGTTCACTGCTTGAGGACCTAACCTATGACATAGTACTATTATTATCCCCCTATAAACACAAAGCATAGGGTTGAAGTGTAATTTTAAGAGCCATGCAAAGAAAAATGAAGTAAGCAGCAACAAGGTATCATGTATGAGTGTCAACTTCTGCAGCAGACAACTTGGTTCAGGTCCTGTCCCCGCCACTTGAACCCACTATTTGCGGTCACAGGCCATTTAACACCATGGCACTAATATCTGAGCTAAGCACCTACCCTGGCATTGTTTCTCATAATCCTCACCACTGCCCCATTAGCTGCTTTCCTTATCTCCATTTCAGAGAAGCAGCAGCCGAGGTTTAGAGAATTTAAACAGTTCACCCAATATGTGAACTCGTTATGTCTGCCCCTAGAAGTGGTGTCTTCTATCCTGTTTCTTTCATCAGACCCACCAATGCCAGTGCTTTTGTGAACATCAAGAAAGATGTGTAGGCTGGGCACAGTGGCTCACGCCTGTAATCCTAGTGCTCTGGGAGGCCCAGGCAGCAGGATGGCTTGAGCTCAGGAGTTGGAGACCACCCTCAGCCCAGGGCAAAAGTGAGACCCCGTCTCTACTGAAAATAGAAATATTAGCCAGGCATAGTGGCGCACGTCTATAGGCCCAGCTACCGGGGAGGCTGAGGCAGGAGGATCTCCTGAGCCCAGGAGTTTGAGGTTGCTGTAAACTAGGCTGACGCCACTTGCGCTCTACCCAGGGTAACAAAGTGATACTCTGTCTCAAAAAAAAAAATGTGTAAGTGTTTAAAAGCACCTTGGGAAATGTTAAACTAATGTGGATTAATATTACAAAATCAACTGAGGCCATACAGAATTTCCTTCAGAAAATTCATGCAGCCAAGCATGTCTTGGTTTACGTAAATGCTTACTTAGGTGCCTGTTACAAGCATTATCATATGTAATCTTCGCACAAGCTCAGGAGGAGAGTCCTGCTCTAATTTTTAGATATTAAATGACACGTGTTTTGCGAAATACTGTTAAATTGAGTGCGATAAAGCAACAGAACCGACTCCATGACGATGCGGTATTGCCGTCAGGCTTCTATTACAGTATTTGGGTGAGCAGCAAACGCAGGAGCAGGACTGTCCCAGGTCCCAGAGCCAGGCACAAGCACAACCGGCGCGTCAGAGGGAGCGCGACGAGGTGTCCACAGCGGTGGAGCTGAACAGGGAGGTGAGGACAGAGCCGCGCTACCAGAGCTCTCCGAGGGAGCGTCAAATGAAATTGCGAACAGGGTCTAGACTGTCAGAGAGGGGCTACCGCCTCCATCCTCCGCGCCTTTTCCTTGAGCGTGTCCTGGTAAACGCAGGAGCGCGAGCTGGGCTTGGCCAGATTCAGAGCCCCTGGGGTTGATCCCTTTCTCCTAGGTGACTGGGGTCGCCCCTTACACTCCAAGTGAAAGACGTCATTTTTTCATTTGTTCTGCAAACGTTTATCGTGCACCGACCATTTCTCCATAAACATACTGTGGCAGCGACAACAGCCGAGGCCACAAGCCCACGGGCGTGCGCCCGGTGCCGGCCGGTGACCGCGGAGGGCGAAGGTGCCCGGGGCAACGGTCCAGGAGCCTAAGTCCAACCCGCAGCCTCAGCGCCCAGCCTGCGCGCGCCCGGGGGCGGCACTGGCCCACGCACATGCACACGCACGGGAGCGCAGGCTCCCGCGTCCCCGGCGCAGTGCCGGCGCTGGGCGCGGGCGGGAGCCCAGGAGTCAAGGCGGGAGGCGGGAGCTCGAGGCGGGGCGGGTGCCCGCGCCCGGCGCTCGTGCATATGCTCCTCTGCTCCCGAAGCCCCGCCCCTGCCCCGCCCACCCTTTCTCCCGCGCGCGGGCTCCGCGCGCCCCATGTCGCGCGCGTGCGCGCGCGTGCGCAGGCCAGGGCCCTCCGGGGGCGGCCCCGTAGTGGCGAACGAAAGCGTCGGCGAGGGCCCGAATTAACCCTTTCCCTGCTCGCCCACTTAGGAGCCCAGTGGAGTTCCGTGCCTGCGCAAGCCGGCGGCGCGCCTTCCCCCCAACCCGCACCGCGCATGCACGGGAGGGGGGGCGGTGGGGGTGTTCACGGCCGGCTAGACATTCTGTGCTCGTGCAGGAGGAGGGCTGCTACCATCAGGGACGTGCACGATTCCCCCACCCCGCCCCCTCCCCAAACTAAAAAAAAAAAAAAATCCAAAACACACTGCCACCCACCGTGCCCCCGCGCCCCGCGTTCATCCCGTCCCGGCCTGCGTGCTAGTGAGCGCGGGGAACCCACGGCGAGTGTCTGTGGCTGTGCCAGGCTGCAGGTAAGCGCGGGCCGGGGTGCGGAAGGGGCCGGGGCCGTCCGCGAGGCGGGCGCGGGGGCGGCCGGCGGCTGGCGGGGCGGCCCGGAAGAAGCGCGTTCTCGCCGAGCTCTGGGGCACCAGCCAGCTCCAGGACGAGCGGCGGCCGCCGGCGGCGCGGTGCGAGCGGGAACGGGCGTGGGCTGGGGCTGGGCGTGGGGACGGGGCGCCCGGGGGCCGCGCAGGCCGGCGAGCGGGCTCGGGGAGCAGCCAGGCGGCGGCGGCCCCGCGCGCGCGCTCGGCCGAGTTCATGGCCGCCCCCGCTCGCACCGCCGCAGTGCACCGCGGTGGGGGTGGGGACGGCCCAAGCCCGGCGCCGAGCGCGGCCCGCCGGGCGCCGCCCCTCCGAGCCCCGGGCCCCGCTGCGCCGCCCCCAGCCGCCAGCGGAAGAGGGGGCCGGGACCCCCGCGCTCGCACTCCCGGGTGCGCCCGCGAAGCTGGGGGAAGCCGGCCGCGCGCCGCCCCCGCCCCTGGCCGCGGGAGGGCGGGGGAGGGCCCGGCGCGAGCCTTGGTTCAGGTCCTGTCCCCGCCACTTGAACCCACTATTTGCGGTCACAGGCCATTTAACACCATGGCACTAATATCTGAGCTAAG